GATTCTAGTATCAGAAGTAAAACATTCAAATATTATGTTTTTCATTGTTCTTCTATATATTCTCCAAAAAGTAAGAACTTCATTGCAAACTTTCTGTGAAATACACTCGTTACATGTTAATACCATAGAGATATCTTTCATTTTGTCACATTTTTCTAGAATCGTAGGTCTATAAATCTTGCTTTCAAACCCTTCTAAACTTTCCAACTTGCATCCTTCTTCAAGTTGTAATGTCTAATGTCCTGAAGCAAAATTACCCCTACTAATTTTGTAACAGCAAACAGCCAGCAATATTTTTTTTAAAAAAATCACAGGATAAATGTGCAAAATTAATTTTATAGAGAAAACTGATGCATAAGAATTCTGAATATTCTGAGACAATAACATGAGAAAACTCTTATCATGAGAAAATTAAAAAGAAGATAACTTTAATTAATTACATAGCTATTTTGCTTTTGCTAGGAAATGTTGGCTGATCTTTGGAATATGGTAACAGGTAGTTTGGCGACATTTTGGAGGCGATAAAGGTTACTACCTAGGACTTTGGTAATAATGTGAGAAGTACTCAGTTCCGATTACGCATTATTTTGTGTGAGGGAAATGAGAGATCATGAGATATGTCATGTGACATTAATGGACGAATTACAGTTCTTTAATCGGAAAAGGGGGTAAATTTGGAAAAATTAATTTGTATTAAGCTTCATTGTGTGTTGTGTGAAATAGTGTTGATTAATTTTCGGATTGCATGGCGCTATGTAAAGTGAATTCTAAATTTTTAATGCATTTATCTAATAATAAGTTGAGATTGTGTGAAAGGAAGGATATTACAGATAAGTTTGAATGGCGGTGCAAGAAACGGAGTGTAAGGAAGGGTACGTGGTTTGCTGAGAGTAGTTTGAGTATGGGTGAAATTTTATTAATTTCTTATTACTTGGTGAATAGACTGCCAGTTGACTACTGGATTTCGGATTTAGAAATTAGCAGTAGTACTGCAGCCGATTGGAACTCTTTCTGTAGGGAAGTAAGTGTACGTGCCCCGTAATGAAGATTCTGAAGAAGATTAGGTAAGTTAGTATTTTTAATCATTTGAGGATATTATTTTTATGCATTGTTCTAAATGTAAGGAGTAAATAAATTAATATGGTATTATTGGAAAATTGTTATTAGCAATGATTTAGTTTAAAGTAATTAGGATTGTAATCTAATTTTTATTAATTTAATGTATGTGCTTATTTATATTTTAAGTAGTTTTTTTTAATTTAATTATATTTTAATTTAATGATCGTGATTTTGTGAGTTATATGTTTGTAGTATTTTGGAATACGTTTGAGTAGTATATGTTGAGTATTTTCATGCATTTTCGTGAAATTTTTCTAATTTATGAGAAAAAAGCAGTGTACATGGATATAGTGAAGAGTGTGCGCAATGCCATTTTTGTGCAATTCTGGGATGTTTTTTTAAGTAAAAATAAGTCGACGTGTACATGGTTTAGTGATATTTTAATTAAATGATAGTTATTTTGTGAATTTGGTATACGTTTCAGCTGAAGTAAATGTGCATGGAAGTAATTTAAATATTTGACACTAAGTATTTGTAACCATTTGTAATGTTTGCGGTATGAATTCGTTGGTGACGTTTATAATATAATAGATAATTTAGAGGTAAAAGTTTTTGGATATTTTATTTATTTTATACGTGGAAATGTTCATCTTTGGAAAGGGTATATACTTTTTCACGATCAGGTAATTTCATATATGTTCTTTTTACCAGATTTAAAGATTCACAAAATTTTCATGCATTTTCGTGAAAATTTTTCTAATTTATGACAAAAAAGCAGTGTACATGGATATAGTGAAGAGTGTGCGCAATGCCATTTTTGTGCAATTCTCGGATATTTTTTTAAAGTAAAAATAAGTCGACGTATACATGGTTTAGTGATATTTTAATTAAATGATAGTTATTTTGTGAATTTTATGGGTACTTTTCCGTTTTGCCGGCGCAAGCGATAAAGTCGCCAATAATGGTACAACCGATGCCAAACGGAATATTCTCGCTGGTAACCTTTTACGCCGCATTTTCAAAACAAGTCGCAGCTTTTTCTTATCAGATTGATTGTTTCTTTCAATACTGGCATATAATTACATAGAATTTTTATCAGATAGTTCAGTTTTATGTCTAAGGCCATTTTCGGTAATTAAGTCAATTAGGATGCAATCACAGCGATTACCCGAAGCCGAAAATATAGAAAAGGAAAAGTCAAGGGTTAAATTCATCAATTCTAATGAGAATGCATTAGCGAAGTAAAGCACTGCAGTTTTACATAATTTCTGAGTAAGCTATTCGTACGAATTGAAATATTTCTTGCATTTAAACTTGTTTTCCAAATTTAGATTTAACTTGAAATTAATGTAGATAATGGCTGAGAGCATTTGTAGAGTAGTTTACGTGAGATGAGATCGCTTGGGGTCACGTGATATGAACGGGCGAATCAGAATGTTGAACCATGAAAGCATAGTAAATTCTTAAATTGATGTCTTTTTAGAAATTTATTGTCTTTATTTATTGGCTTTTTATAAAATTTTAAGCGATATTAAAATGTTTATGCCTTCAAAAAAAGAATTCTTAGAACATTTTTTAAATATTTTTTATGTATATACTGTATGTTGTCGCCAATAAATTCTGCTTGGCGAGATTTGCGCCGGCGAAACGGAAAAGTACCGAACCGGCGAATTAGAATGTTGAACCATGAAAGCATAGTAAATTCTTAAATTAATGTCTTTATTTATTGGCTTTTTATAAAGTTTTAAGCGATATTAAAATGTTTATACCTTAAAAAAAAAAAAAAAAAAAGAATTCTTAGAACTGAAATTTTTTGTGTGTATACTGTATGTTGTCGCCAATAAAATCTGCTTGGCGAGATTTGCGCCGGCGAAACGGAAAAGTACCATTTTATGTTTGTAGGAATTTGGTATACGTTTCAGTTGAAGTAAACGTGTATGGAAATAATTTAAATATTTGACACTAAGTATTTGTAACTATTTTTAATGTTTGCGTATAAATTCGTTGGTGACATTTATAATATAATAGATAATTTAGAGGTAAAAGCTTTTGGATATTTTATTTATTTTATACGTGGAAATGTTCATTCTTGGAAAGGGTATATACTTTTTTGCGATCAGGTAATTTCATATATGTGCTTTTTACAGAGTTTAAAGATTAAGAAAATTTTCCTGCATTTTCGTGCAAATTTTTGTAATTTATGAGAAAATAGCAGTGTAGATGGATAAAGTTAAGAGTGTGTGCAATGCCATTTTTGTGCAATTCTGGGATGTTTTTTTAAGTAAAAATAAGTCGACGTGTAAATGGTTTATGTGTATGTGCTATTCTGAAAAACGCGCAAGGAGTTTGCGATTGTGCACTTTTTCCCAATTTTGCAGTTAATATTTGTCATGATTAAGCAGTTTTGTTACATAAAATTTCTAGCATAAGTGTAATTCGGCTAGTAGATTGTTGGAAAAAGTGTTCAGTAAATAAAAAGAAAAGAAACATGTCTTTACTTCGTGAAGACAAAATGGTGGCGAAAAAAAAAATAGAGGGTTCTGTAGCAGAGTTGGTCGCCAAAAAAATCGCCAAGTTACCATAATCCAAAGATCAACCGAAATGTTTCGTAAATTGTGCTTTATAGCATTATACCTTGTTTATTTTTCAGATTCAAAATATAATAAGTGATCAGATATAATAAGTGATATAATATAAGTGATAAGTTTTCAGATATAATAAGTGGTCAAAATAGAACTTTATAATATGACAGCAAAAAATAAAAATGTTATATTTTAATGTTAATTTTTAAATATAATTTCAATATATTACCATTATTTTAATGAAATTTATCAATGTTACAATGTTTGAAAAAAAATCATAGAAAATTCCCAGATCTTGGAATTAAAAATTTACTATAGAAATTGATCTTAAAAATCGACAAAATGTTGATAAATTGCAAAATTTAGAGCCATTCAATAAAAGAATTCACATCTCTAAAAGAGAAAAGTTGTTTAAGATCTCTTCATTAGAAAAAGTGAAATAATTTCTAAATGCTTATGTTTCACTTCTTGCTCAAAAACTAGAGTATCCCACATTTACATTAGAAATAGGAACAAATTATAACCCATTCAAAAGATAACCATATTTATCAATGAATCGCCAAAAATATATCTCCAAAATGCTAATTCACGCTAAAAAAAAATGCCAGTCGTAAAAATGGACAAAAATTTCACATGATTAAAATTAAGGACCTTCTGCCTATTTTGGCCGAAATTAAGGACTTTTAAGGACCAAAAATTGATTTAAAAAAACTTAAGGACTCTTACGGACCGTACAAACTCTGGATTATGGCAAAGCCTCCAGGGCTACCTTGGGTTCAGTTGTACATCAGCATATGCGCTGGGCAGGTGGTCAGCTTGTCGCAAAAGCTTTAGTGTTTATTCAAGCGAACTTGGTTTTATATATATATATTTATTTATTTTAATGACCCATTCAAGGGATGAAAGGTTTCTAACCCCAGACCTGTGGTGCAGCTCATTTTATTGTTCCATTCAAGGAATGAAACTCTAGACCTGTGGCGCAGCTGTGTGATGCACCAGCCACTTCTAAACCTAAATGTCACACAAAATATATGATTATGGTTAAATTATTTATTGTGATACAGCACTGATATACCATCTGCCTTTATAAAGATCTTCCTAGGGAAAACATAACATGCTTATATTAATATTACTAGTTAAAAAAGCTGCAAAAGTCGCTTGCAGAGCCCATTTCGTCACTAGGAACAAAATCCAGCTACAGCTGTGTTCAGAGGTCCCATCTAACAGTGATGAGCTATGAACATGAAATCATGTTAAGTAACTAATACATAGACATATCATTTGAAAAAAATACACACTGTTCTAAAATTTTGTAAAACATAAAACTGAATTACTATTGAAGTTAAAAATTATACTCACTTTTAAAAGCTATCAAGGATAATATACCTCCTACGGCTAAACCTGAACCTAGAATTAAAACATACATTTATAGAAACAAATCGGTAACTATAAAAGAAAAAAAATAACAGGAATATGATTTAAATTTCTCCTTATACATTATGGAGATTTAAGTTATAATTGTTCGTAAAATATTTTTTCAGCCGTTACCAGTTTTGATTAGAGTATCCGCTATACAATAATCCCAGGTTTCACCCAAGACCTCTTCAGAATTGGTGGTCATTTCAAAATTAGACGTTGAAAACATTAATCCACATGCAGACCGAGCAGACTAAAAGACCTTGTACACACTAGAAGTTATTAATCATTTCATTTCATTTTTATTTATTTCGTTTTTCATTCAATATATTGTTTTGCTTTTTAAATAACTGGTGTAAAAATGGTAAAATTTATTTTATTTCTTATTTGTTGAATTTTATAGATGCTTACAAAGTCTGTTTTGCTTTGGTGATAGGATTCGATTTATTTTGCTTCATTGATATTGGGCAGGAATTAATGAACTCAACTCCTCTCGCAAAGGAAAAGCATGCTTATGTTTTGTTTGTGATTAACAAAAATGAAAAGTCGAAAAGTGTAAGTAGTGTTAATTTATTGTTCTCTATAAAAAAATTTCATATGTTGTATATATATCTTATATCTTTTATATGTTGCATAGATGTATCTTAATTTCATATGTTGACTGACACTAAACATTAAAAATATAGAATTATGAAAGATATCGGGTAATATAAAATGTGAGTTATTTCTGAATCCTTACTTACTTCTGTTTCCGTAGCCTTTAATTTATAGAAAAAAAAAAAGCGTTGAATAGTAAGCAAAAAGAGTATAACTTTTTTTACTAAGTCTACCATAGTTTGGTCTATAAAATATTAAATAAACGTAGAAAATGTTGTTACTAATTTGTTAAGTAATAGGCAAAGGTATTGTTACTTTTTTGCATATGTCTGTTAAGCTTTTCTTAAAAAACTGAATAAGTGTAAAAAAAGGTATTACAAAGCTCCCTTTTTTTTTCTCCTCCCCCCGTGGTTTTCTTAAAATTTGTTTTTATTTTAAAATGTAGTAATTTTTCTTAGTATTTAATCTGTTTTATTTTTTGATAATTTGACTTCATAAAGTATTTATTTAACTAAATTTCTTTTTTAAACATCACTCTTTAAATCACTCTCTTACTAATTAATTTCTCAGCTACTGGGGACAAAGCTCACCACTGTTGGATTTGGGTCCTGGACAACTGACAACTGTTGGTTTTCAGTCCTGGACAAATCATGGATTTTTGTAACTTTAATGTTATTGTGAAATAGGTCCTTATAAAATCTGTCTGTCCAAAAGCCCTTTCTAGAGATTCCTGGCAGGGGAAGAATACGAGTCCTATGAATTCCATCTCTTTATCTGTCAAAATTTGGATAGAGCATAGATGACAGATCATGTGCTTTGCATAATGTAGATAATTAGCAGCACTTCCACAAAAAATAAATAAATAAATAAACCACTATTGGAGATATATTTCTAAGTAGCACATTGAAATGTGTTAATTTTGAATTATTTTTGTCTTTAATGAATAAATAAATTTATGAAAATAATTTTTTGAGATTTTATTATAATCACAAGAATTTTTGGAATTTTTATCACATGAAGTCCTTTAAAATCGAAGAATCCATTAGTATCACAGTAAAATCTCGTTTACTTGTAAGCAGTGGGACCTCAGCAATTCCAGATAAAGGATTTTTCAAATAATTGAATATGTTTCTAGAACTTACTCATTCTTTGCAGTATCATCTGTAGAAATTGTAGCATGCAGAGTCTGTTGGTGATAATTTTTTGTCTTTAATCAGTCTGCTATTATTAAATAAATATAAAAAAATTGTACAAAATATTTAAAATTAAAATGTGTAGATATGATTTTATATTCCAGGAAAATAAAATGTATTATTCACATGAAGAATAGAAATTTCTTAGTGTGATGGCATACAACTTTGAATGTCCACCTGCTTTTGAGATTGTGGTTAGAGTTTTAAAAATTTATTGTGCATACAATGAAACTTGTAGCTGTTATGTACTGTGTCATAGATAAACATTGCTTTGTAAAGCATATGTAAGGGTCTTCTTATTCTGCCCGTCATTTTCATACACATCCTCCATCTTCTCCCTTTCTTTCTCCTGTCCCACTGCATCCATGATTATTTTTTCATCATATTAAGAGTGTGATTGAGATATAATTGTCTGCATCCATCTAAGCCTGCACCTTCTCTTCACTAACATTAATTTTGATTGATCTTTGGATTATGGTAACTTGGTGATTTTTTGGCGAAAATTTGGCAACCAACTCTGCTACAGCAACCCTCTATTTTTTTTTTTTTTTTTTTTTTTTTTGGCCGCCATTTTGTCGTCACGAAGTAAAGACATGTTTCTTTTCTTTTTATTTACTGAACACTTTTTCCAATAATCTACTAGCCAAATTACACTTATGCTAGAAATTTTATGTAACAAAACTGCTTAATCATGACAAATATTAACTGCAAAATTGGGAAAAAGTGCACAATCGCAAACTCCTTGCGCGTTTTTCAGAATAGCACATACACATAAACCATTTACACGTCGACTTATTTTTACTTAAAAAAAATCCCAGAATTGCACAAAAATGGCATTGCACACACTCTTAACTTTATCCATCTACACTGCTATTTTCTCATAAATTACAAAAATTTGCACGAAAATGCAAAAAAAATTCTGTGAATCTTTAAACTTGGTAAAAAGCCCATATATGAAATTACCTGATCGCAAAAAGTATATACCCTTTCCAAGAATGAACATTTCCACGTATAAAATAAATAAAATATCCAAAAACTTTTACCTCTAAATTATCTATTACCGTATATACTCGCGTATAAGTCGACCCCCCACTTCCGAAATCGAACGAGAAACTTCGAAAATTTTTTTTTAAGTACTACATTTATTCAAAATCATCTGAGAAAAAAAAAGTAAATATACGATAAAAAATACCTTGGTAAATAAACAAAATCAAAATCCTTCAACGTCCGATTTATGGTCAGATTCGCCAAACATTTCATAGAACTCTTCTGTCGTCATTGGCTCGTCATCATACATATTTTCAGTCTTGAACTCTGTATTGTTACAATCACTACTACAGCCTTCGTCGTCATTTTTACTTTCAAAAACAGCATCATCTTCCGTGCCGTCTAGTTCATTGCTAATACAACATTTTTTAAAATGATTTTATAATCATTCAGAGGGTATTTTCGCAGGCATTCGCATTTTTTAGGGGCAAAAAACAAAAATTTCCAAAAGTGTCCACAATTTTTGGTCACCACTGTAGTTCGTCACATAATTTAAGTCATGAAATTACTTCAAGTAAGTGACTTATTTGATAAGTCGTCCAATTCGAGTACGGGAAGAAAACAACTGCATTATACAAAGAAATTTTTGAACTTCCAATTCTTTTAATTTTTATGGCCCCGCGTATGAGTCGACCCCCCACTTTGAAGTCTTTTTTTGGTCCAAAATATCTCGACTTATACGCGGGTATATACGGTATATTATAAACGTCACCAACGAATTCATACCGCAAACATTACAAATGGTTACAAATACTTAGGTCAAATATTTAAATTATTTCCATACACGTTTACTTCAACTGAAACATATACCAAATTCCTACAAACATAAAATTCACAAAATAACTATCATTTAATTAAAATATCACTAAACCATGTACACGTTGACTTATTTTTACTTAAAAAAACATCCCAGAATTGCACAAAAATGGCATTGCGCACACTCTTCGCTATATCCATGTACACTGCTTTTTCTCATAAATTAGAAAAATTTCACGAAAATGCATGAAAATACTCAATGTATTACTACTCAAACGTATTCCAAAATACTACAAACATATAACTCACAAAATCACGATCATTAAATTAAAATATAATTAAATAAAAAACACTACTTAAAATATAAATAAGCACATACATTAAATTAATAAAAATTAGATTACAATCCTAATTACTTAAACTAAATCATTGCTAATAACAATTTTCCAATAATATCATATTAATTTATTTACCCCTTACATTTAGAACAATGCATAAAAATAATATCCTCAAATGATAAAAAATACTAACTTACCTAATCTTCAGAATCTTCATTACGTGGCACGCACACTTCCACTATATCACACAACACACAATGAAGCTTAATACAAAATAATATAGTACTACAGTTTTCCAAATCCCCCCTTTTCCGATTAAAGAACTGTAATTCGTCCATTAATGTCGCATGACATATCTCATGATCTCTCATTTCCCTCACACAAAATAATGCGTAATCGGAACTGAGTACTTCTCACATTATTACCAAAGTCCTAGGTAGTAACCTTTATCGCCTCCAAAATGTCGCCAAACTACCAGTTACCATATTCCAAAGATCAGCCTTAATTTTCTCCAAACATGCATTTAAATTCTAGATGAACACAGTCACCAAATGTGCTTTAAAACCAAGACAATCTTCATCATCCAAGAACACGATCACGGGTCACTATTTAACCAACAGTTACATAATGCTCTTTGTATATTTTCGGGCTTACATCAAAGTAAAAGGGTGTCTTTCAATATAAATTGTCATGAATCTTTACATTATGGTAACTTGGGGAAAATTTGGCGACCAACCCTGCTACTGCAACCTGCTAGTTTTGTTTTGGATGCCAATTTGTTTTCACGAAGTAAAGGCATGTTTTTTTGTTTTTTTTTACTCAAGATTTTTTCCAACAATCTGCTAGCCGAATTACGCTTATACTAGAACTTTTATGGAATAAAAAATGCGTAATCATGACAAAGATTTGTGCGAAATTGGGAGAAAGTGCAGAATCGCAAACTGCTTCCCGCATTTTTAAGAATTGCACATACACAGTATCCATGTACACGTCGACCTATTTTCACTTAAAAAAACATTCCAGAATTGCACAAAAATGGCATTGCGCACACTCTTGACTTTATCTATGTACACATCGTCCTATTTTCACTTAAAAAGTCAAAGAAAATTGACAAAAATCTAATTCTTCTTACTGTTGTAAAAAGCGCCAAACAAATAAGTGGGTGATTCTGCACTTTTGCAGGGAAATTTTTTTGAAGTGATTATTAGCTGAAATCATGATTGAAATTTTCCGGAAAATGTTACATTACATGTCTCATGATCTCTCATTTCTCTGAGACAAAATAATCTGTGATTCGAACTGTGTACTTCTCAGATTATTGCTAAAGTCCTAGCTAGTAACCTTTATCGCCTTACCAAAATGTCGCCAAACTACCTGTTACCATATTCTAAAGATTAGCCTAAATTGTTTCTGAAATTCATGAACACTGCTCACACATAGGTGAATCAAAAGGAACTGATAATTCATCTTTATATTCTGGATAATCTATTGGTTGAGTAAGGGATATTGCATTGGGGGGGGGCAGGAACATAACTCGAATGTTTTCCACATTTGAGGCTTTAGATTACTAGCCCATTGTGCATTTTTTATCACTTAGGCCTAAATTTCAGATTTAAATTTAGCATCAAAAGTGCTGTTATTTTGGCATAGCTGGTTATGAGAGATTTTACAGTATATGAGGAATATCAAAGTTTTAATTCTAAATGCTTAAAAATACTTTAAAGTGTTACTAAATTTTATTTGCAAGATATTACCGTAAATTGAATATTTTCAGTTATAATAATTAGTTGTCTTTTAATGCAGAAAATCTGCAGCAAAAGCTAAATCATTTTTGTCAAAGAAGAAACTCAGAGGTAACATTCCAATTGATGTGAGAAGTGACAGTGAAGCAGATGCAGATTCTGATATTTACAATGATGAAATCGATGAATTTCATCAAAGAGAAGACGAAGTAAGCTGATTATTGTAATAGTTATATGTATAGTTACATAGCTAATGCCTTTCTGTGATTAAGAAGATACATAAAATAAAATGTTGAGCTAATTAGAAACAACTTTTTTTAAAAAAAATTCCTTTAACAAACTGTAAAGTTATAAAAAAAATCCTAGTGCATTAGTCTAGTTAGTATTATTCCATTTATTACATAAAAAATCATATACTTGATATTTTATTTCTATACATGTTTTCGTCGACAGCAGTAAGAATGTGAATTATTCTTCCCTTTAAATTTTGGATATAAAAAGTTAAGTACTTCAGGATTAAGGTGGCCACCTTAGATTTAAGCCAAAACTGGATGATCAGTCACAAAGCTTGGTAAATATGATCCTCAGATTTTTAACCTGAAATAGATTAGATTTTCAACCTGCTTTCATTGTATTGTGGTCCACTATATCATTTCAGTAATTTTTTTTCCCTTTAAAATGTTTAGCATTTTAGCTTATAAGAAATTCGAAAAGAAGCAGTATTTTTTTAATATTTATAATGTACCGCATTTTTTATTTTCATGCTCACTTTTAACTGTCATATCATTGTATCGTTAATTATTTTCTTTTTAATTGTTGACAACTTTTAACTTTCCATAATTTTTTAAAATAAGAGTTAGGTTCTTCATGATATTATTAATTCTTTCTTATTCTTCATTATTATTTTTTTCCTTAACATGTCCACCATATTTAACTTAATATCAACTGAAAAAAAAACAATGATTTTCTTATAAGAGCACAGAATTTTGTGTACCAAGCAAAAGCATAAAAATGGCTACCAAATGGAATTGTTTATAGGGAAGCTGTGGCCAAATGGCAAAACAAGAGACAAAGAGGAACAAGGACATATTAATATTTAGGAAAATTTGGGCAACAAATTATTATAGTATTGCAGGAATTGCCGAATTACAACATTCACAAATATAAGTAAATGTTTCGTTTTTTTAAAGTTGCGGAAGTGTTTTTTTTTTTTTTTTTTTTTTTTTTGCCAAATTAATTTTTAATTTTGCCAAAGTATATGCAGTGGCCATTTTAAACTACCAAAAATTACTGTCACATAACCCTTGATCCTGAATGTAACTTCATAAATTATATCAAGAGCAGCAGTGGCTGTTAATTTTGCTGGCCATGATAACAGTTTGCTGTCATGTGTTTGAGAATGATTTATTTAAGCATTTATGAGCACATGTAAATGAATGGCTGAGTGATGATATGTATTTTTCCCAAATGATATGTCTGTGTATTAGTTACTTAACATGTCATGCTGTCGAAAGATTACCCACGATTGAACCTCTTGCAGCTAAGCAACATAAAACTGCATCAGGTAAGAATCTGGTTAAAATTATGGACTCGCTAAAAAAAGAAAGGTCCAACAGTTTTCTTCTGCATTAATCCATAACAAACATTGACTTGAGGGACTCTCTCCATGTTTCTGTTTGATAATTTGTAGAACATTAAATACAGGTAAATGTTTTCTTTCTCTGAGGGATGAAATGTTGTTTTAACAACATAAAACTGCATCAGGTAAGAATCTGGTTAAAATTATGGACTCGCTAAAAAAAGAAAGGTCCAACAGTTTTCTTCTGCATTAATCCATAACAAACATTGACTTGAGGGGCTCTCTCCATGTTTCTGTTTGATAATTTGTAGAACATTAAATACAGGTAAATGTTTTCTTTCTCTGAGGGATGAAATGTTGTTTTAAATATGCTCATGTGCTTAAGTGTTGTCTTAAGCAATTATTCTAGAATCTCCTATAAAAAAAAAATTAAATAAAAAAATAAAAAAAAAAGATATTTTAAGGCACTCATAGAAATGTACCCTTTCTTAGCATGGGGATTGGGGAGAAATCTTTTCCTTATGAAGCATAAGAAATTAGAAAATCTCGCAGAAATACCAAGGAAAACGTTAATACTGAAAAGAAAGATAATATATGTGTGTAAAAGCTCTTTAACTTACATTGTTTTAAATAACTGGTCTAAATTATAAAAAAAACAATTTTTTTTCTTATTACAATATTCTTAATTATATGTGATTACAAATAAAAATCATGAAACGGCAAAAATGTCAATATTTCAGTAATCAAATAGAAATTAAGCGAATTCATAATATTTCTTATATGTGTAATTTCTGGAGCAGCATTTTTAAAATTGTGTTCTATGAAAACCTGGCATTCCATAACAATCACTCAAGGGTTTCATAAAACTTTCTTTTTCATAACATTCAAGAAGGTAACTTAAAAGCGCAATAAAAATTAAGGTCTCTATAAAATTAAGGGGGAAAAACTAAAATAAGAGCTAATCCTCGTTTCCACTTACTAATCTTGGGTAGCCAATGTAAATACAACAGTTCAGTGTTGTAAGTTGTAATAGCACAGTCAGGGAAGTTTTTGTTATTTTAAAGCAGTCATGCTGGGGAATAGCCCACAATTCTGTAGATGTAGAAATGCAGGGAAATCCTGTAAACTTCAGTATATGAGGATACTGCAAGTAGCTAAGCATACTACTCGCTTGTCGATGTGCGTCTTATAAAATATAAATTGATTGAAATTTTTTTAAGTTTCTACTTATTGATAAATTTTATTGAGCATCACATCACACATACTCTTCCATAAGATTTTCCCCATCTTAAAATCGTTTTTGACATTTTGTTGCAGGATGGACAAGTGGCTAAGAAAAGACACTCTAAATTGTTCAATTGCAGATCTTGACTCCTTCTGCTTTGGACTAGCTCTTTTGTTAAAGATAATAATGGTAATAATGATAGTGATATCAATGAAATCGTCCCCAAATATGTTAGGCCAGTTAATGCTTCTACAAGCACTCAGCAGTTGCTAAAAAATATAAGTATGATGGAAGTTATCTGTCTAGGATTCATGAACAATATTGGTTATCCTCAATTTGTTATGTGCAGCAAAGTTATCCATGATAGCTGTATGGTTCCAGCTAAAACTTATCATTATTTGAAATCTGTTTATAGCACCTTAACTAAAAAAAAATGTTGAATTCTTCATTTGAAAGTGTGACCAACTCTTAAAATTATAAAGGTTTATGGTTCAAACCACCGAAAATGTGAAAGAAAAAGCAGCTGTAACTTCTGACTTAGTCAGATATCAAATTGTTTAATATACGATCAATTTCAAGAAATCTTATTAAACCTGCTATGATAGCAATGGTAAAATATATGTTAGATGAAAAAACAGCAAATGAAATAGCTAAGATCACACTTTCAAATGACACAGAAGCTCAGCATGTCAGAGGTATATCAGCTGATAAAAGAAAGAACTAACCTTTCATCTGAAATTATGCAAATTTTCATTACAAATGGATGAATGTACCAATTTAGCTGGTGATGATACTAATTTTCATTATTAGATATCAGCATGAAAATGCATAATTTTTTCTGTTACACAAATCTTACCAACACATATGACTGTAATGTAAGTAATTGGTCTTTTCTTTTCTTGAAGAGAATAAAATACCATTGAACAAGTAAATCCTGTAAACTTGAGTATATGAGGATGCTGCAAGTAGCCAAGCATAATACTCACTTGTTGATGTGTGTCTTATAAAATATAAATTGATTGAAAATTCTTAAGTTTCTACTTCTTTATAAATTATATTGAACATCACAGCTTATTAAAATTTGTAGCCAAAAACTATTGTAGTAGCCATTGCATGATCCCTAGGCAGGCATTTGCTGCAAAAATTATCTCCCAGCCATAAGATTGTTCTTGATGAGCTCATCAAAATCATAACTTCATAAAATCTGGGCCACTAAATAATTATTAATTCATTATACAGTGTGAGAACATGGGAAGTTCATATTCATCTCTTTACACATCATCATCTTTACATACTGAAATCAGATGGTTATTTCGAGAAAAGATGCTAACCAGTATTTTTGAGTTAAGGGACAAGGTGTGTGCTTTTCTTTTATTTTTGCAAGAACACAGTTTTGAACTGAAAAGTTGATTATTTGATAGAAATTAGCTCCTTAAAATTTCCCATTTAAGCAACATTTTTACAAAGATCATTGAACTTAATTTAATTCTATAGAACAAACAAGTAAATGTGTTTAATGCTCATTAAAAATTTCTTGCTTTCAAGAAAAAGGATTTTATATATTGTATACTCTCCATCTCCTTTTTAGAAGATGAAGGGGTTGAAATAGGGAAGACATTTTGTAAAGAAATTATTCAGCACCTGACAGGTTTGAGTACTGCTTTTAATCAGTATTTTTCAAATAAACGGCAGATTAAATATTAAAACAAGTTGTGAGTTGAAAACTCATTTATTGGCAGTGCATATACAGCATCAACAGAAGAATAAGAAACTCTTATTCAAATAACATCTAATTCAGCATTGCAGAAAAAAGTTAAATTAATGCTGTTAGTGGAATTCTGGTGTAGTTTAAATAATAAATAGCTTCACTTGTCACAAAAGGCCGTATTAGCATTTTTACCCTTTTTAACTACATGTATGTGTGAAACATAGTTCTCAGCTCAAGGGTTGACAAAAAATTAATATCCTTAGTATAGACTTGGTGTTGAACCTGACATGAAAATTCAGCTTTAGATGAAGCCTAATATTAAGTTCATCTGTGATAATAAAAAGCAGTATCCCTCTTTAATATTTAAATTTAAAAGTTCTGTTTGAATATGTTATTTTAAGAATTTTGGAATCACCTTAAAACCACAGTATTGAAGTAAACCAGGGGTTGAACAGTAAAAATGGTCATTAAAAATAGTTTCATATCAATAATGAAGTTCTGTTCTAGAGTATCATATCTGTTCTTCCTTGAATTTCCTTATGTTCTTATAGAATTCTTATCCGAGTGCCCTATAACTTTTACATTAAATCATATGCAATTGAGAATATTATGATACTTTTAATTTATTCAAAGGAGGAAAGTAATAGAGAAAGAAAATAACTGCTTCTGAATGTAGGAAATTTATTTCTAATATTCAGCCTAACAATGATGCACACTTGGCATCATGTCCTTTCAAGGTCTTTGGAATTATTCTTTTGGATTGCTTCCAGTTTATTTATATCTCTGCTTGATTTAAAAAGCTGATCTTAATCTCTTAAAGTTATGAGAATATTCAGCTTGAAAGGTTAAATTCTCAATTTAAAAATTTATCATTGTTAGCAACCAAGTCGTTAAAGTAGAGGTTGTAGAAAAAATTCCATTTATAAGATGATTTTTTAGTGTATTTAACGATGCAAGGATCTAAATTCTATGATGCTTGATCCTTAGGAAACGATATGAAAAATTTAACACAAAACAAAAAACAACTCATAAAATAATAATAAAAAGGGTCCTTGCAGAAAATCCCGCTGACCATTTTTGCCTATTAAAGAAAAGACGCTAAACTATGTGATTGTTCGCCAAAAATGGAAAAGTCTTCTTCAAACATGCTGGGTTTGGTGTAACCTTGATTACATGTGTTAGTTATTATTGAAAGTACTGTTATTAGTTGAAAGTATTGACTCTTTTTTTCCCCTCTATCATGCATTTTCAGAAAAAAAAAAAAAAAAATGATTAAAATTTGGGACCTGCGTACTATATAAGAATGCTGATTTTTTATTATTATTTGAGTTGGAAAAAAAGTTTTTCTTGAGACTTGTATTTTTTTGCGAAAATTAAAAACCTAATGAAAATAATTGCTTTTACAGTATATCTCCTTAATAAAAAATAATGGAAATTTTAATGAAAAATTAAATATAAATGATAATATAATAAATTTGAAAGAAAAATAAGAATAGAAATATTTTTTTCTTGTATTTAGTAAATGGTTTTTTTTGGTTTGGTGTGATTGGCACCGTTTCTTATGGTTAACAGGATTTTTCGTAAGTACCAAAAAAAAAAAAAAAAAAAAAAATCTGTGTAAAGTATTATTAAGTGCACGTACATATATTTCAGGAAAATTTATATCGTAAAAAGGTGTTAAAATTAAATTTGACCCTACCTTCCCCAAATTAAATTAAACTATGTAAGAAACCATTCTGCATCTCACAAAAGAAAGAATGATTTGTTATGTCATACACAAATTCTTTTGTAAACATATTGCTGCTTGTTTGCTGTGCATTCTCATACTTTAAAAATTAAACCTGGAAAAAAAAGGATGAAAATTTTAATATTATTTTAAAACCTAGTTTCTGCTTCTTTTGTAATTTTCTTCAATCCCTCTGTCCACAGCAACTTAATAACATAAAGAACATAATGTCAAATTTCATAATCAATCATTTTTAATGTAAATTCGTGTTAATAACCAGCTTTTAAAATAAAATACTGAGAGATGTATATAGAAATTTTAAGTATAATTATTTATTTTATTTATTTACAGAAGCTTTCAACAGATGATGAGTTGATTGATAATGATGAAGATAGTTCCGAAGAAGTAATATACTACTTTTTATTACTGTAATTTTTTATTTGTTGACTGGAAGAATATAGCATGTATTTTTCTTATCAAAGAGTCCTCTAAAAATATTTTTTAAAAAAAGGTATTTGTTTTGAACCAACATGAACAAATAACTCAACATGCAATATAATTTTAGCATGCATAGAAATTATCTCAGCATCTTAGCTTTGGCTTGCTGTTCTTAAAATTGAAAGTTAAATCACATAATATGTATTGCTACTGCATTAACTGAAAGTTGCACTGAATATTAATTCATGTTACATATTTGCAATAATAAAGTTTAGATTATTTTTGCTTTCAAACTAAGCTTTTGAAAATGATTTCAAAAGCAAAGCTCCTGCAAACCTATTTTTTATCACTTTTGGTTCATATGACTTATTGTGTAAATTCTGTCAGTATGGAATTCTGCCAAAAGTTGTTTGGAGACAATGAAGTTTTTCAAATTCAGTTTTCAAAGTACAGTAGAATTCCAGAAATCCGCAAAGCTTGGGACCAGAGGTTGTGTGGATTTTAGGATTTTATGGATTTCAGGACAGAAAAGATAAATCGTAATATTCAGACTAAAAGTGCAAAATAAATAAGGCATATTAGATACATTTAATTAAATTATTATATACATTATTGCAGTAACTTATTATATGCATTAAATTATTATCACATATATAAATTGATTATATTATTCATTGTATTATATATACACAGCATCGAGGTTGCAGATTTCGCCTCATGCAAAGATTTTTGGTTTCAGATTCCGGTGTTAGAATCACTGTTGCTGTAAAATTTCAACAGCTTTTCTTTATTTTTCAGTATATCATACACAATCATATCGCAATTCCATACGATTCTGTTATAAACCGAGGAGTAGCACCTGTCTCCATCTTTTGCAGAATTGGCACTTTTTGCATTACCGTCAATGAAACGTTGCATTGATGAGTGCGTTTCTAATCTGTAATTGTATTAAGGGCTGAAATTTAAAATATTCTAGTTTATCTACAAAATATTCGGATTAAAAAAAAAGCAGTACTAAATAATCTCGTGAAATAACAAAGCTCAGAAATTACAACAGCGGGAATCGTGAACTTGAAAGAAGAGCTGAGTGAACCGTCTGCTTTTTAACCTCGATGCAGGTTAGAGGGGAAACAACTTTTATCATGATGTCAATAATTTGGTATTTCCATTATGACTAATTATTGTTTCGTAATTATGATGTCATTATTCGGTAAGTCTTTGATAATTCGTACTCAATGTTACGGTTTCCGGAACCTATAAACCGAATATTTATATTTTGAGAGGCAACGCGGATTTCAGGTCGGCAGATTTTTGGTATTTGACTTTATTTACAAATGTATTTTATTTTGCACAAATGTGGAGACATATAATAACTTCAGATTTTCCTCATAAGTAACATATTTAGTAGTTTTATACTTTTAAAGAGCCAGATTTGTATCTAAAAATGTATAAGATCTTATTTGTTATCTAATATTTACTAACACTAAAAAAATCTTAACTTCTGTTAAGAAAAAATTTCATGATATCAGAAAATGCTATATAATATTTTTAATGTATAATTTTATTAGACAATATTTTCACTATTTTTTAAAACTTCAGTAGTGTAGTTTTTAAAACATGGCATTTTAATTTGAGTCACTTAAATATAAATTATACATACTGGAAAGGCATGTAATACAGTCAAAAGTCTTTAACCCGGACCTCAAAGCTACAAACTTTCTGCACATGCGTAAACATCATGCGCATATGCGTTTACGCATGCGCGTAATACCTTTAAGCATGCGCATAATACGTTTACGCATGCGCGTTTAATGTATAATGGACGGTATATGCTAAGCTAAAATTATCTAATTATCTGTTTTAGTTAATGTTGCAAATTGTGTTGTTCCTTAATCTTCTAATTGGATCCGGCTTATTATTATTTTGCAGACTGTTAGAGCAATTTTATAAAAGTGAGCTTTGAACTTTCGATTATGTCAAAAAGAATTTCCGATTCTGGAGCTGCCAAAGGGTCTACAAAACGAAAGCATGTTTCGATGTCCATCAAACAAAAAGTGGAATTACTGCAAAAAAATGGATAAAGGCATATCCTTTGTTTCTCTATTTCCAAAATCTGTGTATCAATTTCACGCTGCTCTGTGGGGGAGACGTCGCGGTGCGCAATGAACTGCAAGTTGATCTGTCAGCACTATCCTTATCTTCAGGGCAGATGTTTTTATTCGGCTTATAATTCCTTACTAAGTAATATTTCATCTCGATGTACTCCGTCTTTGATATGATTTAAATCAAATTCCTCGTCATTATAAATATCACGAATACACATCAAATAGTTTTCTGGTTGCAATTTTCTAATTTTGACTATGCGTAATGTGTGCTTTACGAATGCGCTTTGAAAGAAATTGTTAATAAAGTAAACAAATAAATATTAAGCTTTTTTTTTTTTTTGTAGATTTTGATACCCTTTAGATCATAATTGCTCTTTATTTCATAAATTATGAATTCATATTTTTAATTTTATAATTTCTGCATGCCATGTTACCAGATTTAAACTGGTGATCTATAATTCGGAATCGCTGATGTCCCAACAAGTCCGGATTAAAGGCTTTTGACTGTATTAAGCAGATAAGCATCTAAGCAAGAAATCGTGAAAATCATTCTGCAGTTTCAGTTATCTGCCATTTATCATAGCCCCTCCTTCAAGTTAGAGGTTAGCTCAATTCACAAATTATAAAATTCTTTCTAAATGAAAATGAGTCATACTGCATCAAAAAAGATCAGCTCAAATGTGGCTTGTGTTATCTTACAGTTGTCCTGATCATAATACAAATGCACATGGAAATTTGCATTGTAAAAATTTCATAACCTTTCTTTTCCCCTTCATTTAAAAAGTTCTCAAATCACCTCAATTCCTTCTTTCATGGATGGCCCGTGCATGCTTTCCTTCAGTTAATTCAACCAACTGAACAGTTTTTGTTTTCTCCTTTTAAATACCTGTCTTTCTTTTTTTAGTTTCTAGTTTTTCCTTTATTTTATCATAGTTTGGTAACTAAACTAACCAGTACTTTTCAGCGCCTGGTATTATTCAGATTTTTCCATGCTTAAGCTAAATGTTGATAAAAAATTGGGATTTTTATTGTTCTGTCATCTTTTGAACCTGGGAAGTATTGCTTGGTACTTTAATGTATAGGTATAGTAATTTTTTGTTGTCTGCTTTTTTTTAGGATTAGACTAAAATGTCAGTCATTTATTTTCTTAAGCCCCAAAAAAAAGGAAGTACTTTGTAAATATGCAAGTTTATCTCATTGTTATTAGGTACTCTTCTATTACCGGGACCAAATTCATAAATGTATGTATGTGTGTGTATATACACACACATACACATAAACATATGTTCATGCATGCCAGATCACATGTATATGTTACGGTGAAACACCGAAATCTGGAGAATGTCGACTTTCACTGGTGAATGTCAACATTCACATAATCACTTGGTGTATGTCCGAAATATTTTCCAAATACTCTTATTTCTGACTTACACCGGTGAATGTCGACATTCACCATGTACTAATGGTGAATGTTGAACATATAAGAATATTATATTTCTTTCTCCATAATTCATTCACGAAAAAATGCACTTGATACTCAGAATAAGAACTTAAAACACACAGTACATTCAAAATGAGAAAGGAAAATAATAGAAGTTATAAACTTACCAAATTATGTGATTCAAATCTTATTTATTGCAACAAATTAAACTATTATGACACTTTGAATTGCACAAGAGGCCCTTGCTTTTACAACTGCATTTATTTGTGGAATACTTCGTTCTGGAATGGCAGCATGCACATATACTCCTCTCTTTTCAACCTACACCAGAGCATATCTGTGATTGTCGACATACACCGGTGAGGGTCCGAAAGTACAAGAATGTAAAGAAATATTCGATCTTTCACCGACGCATTTGGTGAATGTTGACATTCTCTGGTGAAAGTCGACATTCTCCAATTTCGGTCTTTCACGGTAACATATACATACATTTCTGAATCCGTTGTTCCCAATAACTGAAGAGTATTGTTTATTTTAATCTGATAGTGTCCTCTTGTAAGTAATGATCAATAGAACGAATTATTTGCTAACGGGTTATGTTCTATTGTTGCACTGGTTATGCTTAAAATATTGCAATTTTCTTTTTTCTTCTTCTTCTTCTCCCCCCCTTTTTTTTAAAGGGGAAACTGAAATGAATAAGATGGAAATTGGAGCATATTCAAAATGTTGCTGAATATCTGCAATATGGTTTTAGTACATAACTGAGGTTCTTAACCTGAAAGGGGGATTTCATAGTTTCAGAGGTAGATTGCAGCCAGCCTGATTCCACCTGCTTCCTTTTATGCCTTTAAAAAATATCTAAATCAAAATAAATGTACATGTATTTTTCAAGTTTTGGAAAGGGAGAGAAGAAAGATCTTCTAGCAATGATGAAAGAGGTGCAAGGGGAATTCAAATTGTTTAGTTTATTAATCACGAATTCATTAAATTCAGACAAAATATGAAATAAATCAAAAACAAATTTGAAATTTAAAATTCAGACTTTAAATAGGGGCAGGCCATTCAAGGAAGATGAGCACCAGTCTGAACAATCAGTTTCTTTCATCGTAAATGACAATTTGATTCACATTAAAGACCTAATTCAAGAGACCTCATGCCTTCACATTCAACATATTTACTGCTAATGACTTGAACATCTTAGGGAGAATTGTGCACAGCATCATTCATTCACAATTCATACAGAAAAATACATAGTCTGTATGATAAATATGCAGACTCATATCATATAAATTTTATTTTACAAATCTAGAATGCATGAATCTTATCTCCTTCAAAATACTGCCCATTTGCAACTACACTGAAAAGCCAAAACATCATGACCACATACTCAATAACATGCTGTGTGACCTTTGGCCAGCAAA